ATACGATCCGGGTAATCTTATCAATCCTTTAAATAAACTTATTCTAAAAGGTTACCAATTCAGCAATGTAATTAGATCTTTGAATATTGTTTTAATTGGTATAAATATTGATTTTGTTATCAGCAAATTTAAACCATACTTAATATTATTGTTAAACACATATGCACATTCACGGTACGACAATCTGTCGATACCTATATTTTGGCATTGCACAATGTATTTTTTTTCTCTCTGATTGTTAATGACGACTTTACACTAAATCCATTGGATGTTGAATGTGTACTGATTGATAATTTAGTCTTAGATACATGATTTTTTTTTAGTTGTTATTGGCTTTGAACTAGCTGTCAGTAACTGCGAGTATGCTCATATCTTTACTTTGTGTCTTTTTCTTTGTAAGGGATGATTAAATACCCTGCCACGTCCGGTCTGTGTTTTTGTTTAATGTTTTTTCTGCTTTGTATTGATCTGTTGAGTTAAGCCCTTTTAAACTGATTTTGATAGTTTATCCTTATATTGTACTGTTACACAATAGTCCCAGGTTAGGGGAGGGTTGGCGCCTTCAAACATGTTTAACCCTGCCTCATTCTTTATGTGCCTGTCCCAAGTCAGGAGCCTGTAGTTCAGTGGTTGTCTTTAGTTCATGTCTGTCATTTTTTGTTTTTTCGTAAATAGTTTTGTTATAAATTAGGCCATTAGTTTTTCTCAAATGAATTGTTTCATATTTTTCATGTTGTGGCCTTTTATAGCCGACTATACGATATGGGTTTTCTCATTGTTAGAGGCTGTACGGTTGCCCCTTTATTTTTTACATCCACTTCATTTGAACTTTGGTGGACAGTTGTCTCATTGGCAATCATACCACATCTCCTTAATTTTATGTCAACACTATATCATTGTTTTTAAGGAAACTCATCTTCGTTAGCCAAGGGTTACGATCCAGTCCCCTCCTCTCTGGATCATAATCCTTGGCTAGCGAAGATGAAGGAAACTCTGCAATTTGAGTAATAAGTTGAGTGAAGGAATATCCAGTTTTTGTTTATCTTAATTTAAAAAAAAAACGTAAACAGATCTATCCGTGTAATTGTGTAGAACTTTCTCTTTAGTGGGTGTAAGTGGTTTGTGGGTTTCAAATAATACGTCTATACCTAGTTCCTTTATCATCAGTTTGTACAGTCATTACTGTAATTGATCCCAAAGAACCGATACTGTTTGGGGCTTTATAACTACAAAAACCACTGAGTTACAGGCTTCGGACAAGGGACAGGCACATAACGAATGTGGCGGGTCACCACTGAGAGTGAACGCTCAACCCTTATAGTTTGTTCAAAACTGCAATAAATTGCTTCGCCGAGCGCAACTGGATACGACCGCAGAGGTCCAACCCTGAACAGTTGGGGCAAAAATGGACACAATATTCGCGCTTGATACAGGTCTGAACTTGGATTGTAATTAAATATTTGACACATAATAGGTTTCTGACACAGAATATCTGTTGTCAAAGAACTTAGAATTGGTTATATGATTTGAATTTATATTCAATTTTTTGCTTTTGTGCAATACACTATGCTGGTGCGAATTGACCCCCCCCCCCCCCAAAAAAAACAAAACAAAACAAAACAAAATTTGAAGAAATTTTCTTTTTAATTTCTGAAATCTGAAATGAGAAAAAATTGTTCCCCCCTCACAATTTCTTTTTTACCCCCCCCCCCCCCCTCCCCCCGGCCCAATTTTTTTTCAATTAATATTCCTCAATCAGCATTTTTAAATAGTAGCTTCTAAAAATAAATTGACAGCTAATCACCTCTAGACAATACAACATTTCTTTATACATAATTTAAAAGCAGTGTAAGGGAGATAATCCAAACATTACATTGTACTTTTTTTTAATTAGATATAACAAGACGTGGACTATGAGTGCCAATGAGACAACCTGTCCATCCAAGTCAAAATTTATAAAAGTAAACCGTTATAGGTCAAATTGTCCATTAACCAGGAAACCCTTGTTTTTCCCCCTAATTCCTAAACGGTTTGAGCCATAACCCCCCAAAGCCAATCCTAATCATCCCTTTGTGGTATGGAAACTTGTGGTATAATTTCAGAGAGATCCATACACCGTTCCACAAGTAATTGTCTGGAAACTAGAAAAATGCTTATTTGGGCCCCTTTTTTGCCCCTAATTCCTAAACTGTTAGAACTAGAACCCCCAAAATCAATCCCAACCTTTCTTTTGTGGTTATAAACCTTGTGTTTAAATTTCACTGAATTTCTATTTACATTTACTAAAGATATTGTCCGGCAACCAAATGTCTTCTGACGATGATGACGACGACGACGTGATACCAATATATGACCGCAAGCGGTTGTATAAAAATGGAAAAAAATCCTCTTTCTAGGGCAATAATTTCTGAAAGGAGTCAGTTGACAATTTCGGCCATGATGATTTATTTTTAGATCTTATTGTGCTTAACATCTTTGCCATTTACCACATTTAAAAAAAAAGAAAGAAAACCATGTTTGCTGGGCAATAACTCTTAAAAGCAGTCAATTGACATTATTTCGGTTAACATGGTTAAATTGACTTGTTTGTAGATTTTATTTTGCTGAATACTTTAGCTTTCATCATTTCTCTCTATCTATTGTACTTTCGGCAAAAAATGAGTAATATTAGTCTTTCAAGAGCAACAACTCATATAAGGGGTTAATTAACGATTCATTCTTGTTTACTTATTTTTAGATCTTATTTTGCTGAACACTTTTGCTTCTTTCAATTTCTCTTAGTCTGTTAATAGTTTCTGCAAAATAATAGTAAAACAACAATGTGTCCATAGTACACAGATGCCCCACTCGCACTATCATTTTCTATGTTCAGTGGACCATGAAATTGGGGTCAAAACTCTAATTTGGCATTAAAATTAGAAAGATCAAATCATCGGGCAATGTGTACTTAGTTTCAAGTTGATTGGACTTCAACTTCATCAAAAACTACCTTGACCAAAAACTTTAACCTGAAGTGGGACAGACGGACGGACGGACGAACGAACGAACACACAGACCGAAAAACATAATTCCCATAAATGGGGCATAATTAGTCTTTCAAGGACAATAACTCCTGTAACGGTACAATTGACAATTCGTCCATGGTTTTTTTTAAAACTATTTTGTAGATCATACTGTTCTGGCCATTCTTACTATTTTAAATTTCTCTCTATCTGTTATAGTTTTCAAGATAACAAGTAAAACTGTGAAATTTGCAAAAAAATTGACATTTCAGGGGCAATAACTCTAAAATTGGTAGTTTGAATTTACTAAATATTTCGCAGGAGATAGACCTGCTGGTCAATCCTACCCCTATGTTCTATTTTAGCAGCAATGGCCATGTTTGTTGATGGATCAATTCCTTGAATATAATTTTTTTTAACTAGATACCCTAAGGAACATTAAGATGAAGTTTGGTATCACTTGGCCAAGTAGTTTCAGAGATAAAGATTTTTTTTAAAGTTTACAACAACAGACAGACATAATCCCCATTCTTTTCTGATTTAAATGGCCATTGTCCAAATGTCTGTGCCCTTATCACTGGGGTTGATAGTTTGAATCTGGGTATCTCTTCATTTTTATCTGTTGTTTCTTAGTGTTCTTGAGCAAATTCAAAATCTCTGACTTTATTGACTTTTGTGTAAGGTCAGAAACACAGAACAGGAAAATCTCTAAATACTAAAAAAGCCTCTTTTCTTTGACCGTGCCTCAGACAAAAACAAGTCCAATTATAGAACAGAGTGTCCCCCTTGTTGCACATATTTTACCTGTCTGACAGCAATAATTTTGAGAAAAAAAAATCTTTAAACTTTAAATATCTTACAAGAAAAGTTGGCATGAGATCACTTGCTGGTATAAACCCAAGATATAAATTTAATAAAAATCCTATAAGAAATGCAGTTGTGAGAGTGCTTACAATGCAAATTTCCATATAATTAATTCTGATATAAACCTTTGATATAAATTTTTAGAAATATCTGGCAAGAATTGTACACTTTTCTATAGAATTTACATTTCTAGTAGACATAACTCCTGTAAAAATAATTGATGAAAGTAAATCATACCAATTTGTTTGCTCTATCTAACATGTCTAAAGTGCATTTCAGGATTAATCTTTATAAAAAAAGGTATGAGGTAAAGATAAAAACATGCAGACCTAGGGATACTTATCAGAATGCTGAAAGTAATAAAAGATCAGTTTACCATACAACAACAACACTGAATTTTTAATATTTTTATTACAAAGACAACAAGATTTTATAAAATACACCTAAAAATATATATATTGACTAGAAAAAAAATTAAAACAAGATGCTCTGATGAGCTTGCACTGACAGATCAACCCATGTAGATTCATGCACATATAGAATTTTTTGTATTTGCTTTTGTAATTTTCTCCTATACCATTTAAGTGATTTTAACATATGTCATATAAACCTTATGAAATCATTGATCACAAAAAATCAAATATTACAGGTTGAAGAAGTTCAATCAAAATTGAAATTAATTCTATTAATTTTGTAGAAACAAATTTTTTTCAGTGAAGAGTTTTAAAATTCATAATATATTGTCATGAAAGATCAGATGCTCAATAACACATTTGTAAGATATTGAAGTCTCTTATGTTAAATGGATAGTAAAATCCTTTCTGGTAAAAAATTCACTGCTACATATAAAGAATATTGTTAACCATATCAATGTACATTTAGGGAGCTTCCATTTGATTTTTAGGGGAGGGCTAGGATGAAAAATTTTGTCCTGCATGTTTTTTTAGTTGTAATCTCTGCCCTGCCTTTTTTCTTTTTTTTTAATAGTTTATAAGTTTATCCTGACTTTTTTACATAAATTGTCCTCCTGCCCTTTTTTTTTTTTTTTGCCAAGTTGCTCATCTTGCCTTTTTTTTTTACTCAAAACTCCTGTCCTACCTTTTTTTCAATTTTCATCCTAGCCCCCCCCCCCCCCCCCCCCCCCCCCCCCATAAAAATCAAATGGTAGCTCCCTTACTATTCTCAGATTGCTATGGCATCTGACAGTCTTTTTTAGGATTTACTGGTGCCGTAATCCCATATCAAGTCCTAAACAAGAATGTGTCCATAGTACATGGATGCCCCACTCACACTATCATTTTCTATGTTCAGTAGACCGTAAAATTGGGGTAAAAACTCTAATTAGACATTAAAATTAGAAAGATCATATCATAGGGAACATGTGTACTAAGTTTCAAGTTGATTGGACTTCAACTTCATCAAAAACTATCTTGACCAAAAACTTCAACCTGAAGCGGGACAGACAGACGAACGGACGGACGGACACACAGACCAAAAAACATAATACCCCTCTACTATCGTAGGTGGGGCATAAAAACGCCATCAGAGCAAAATTGCACTAACTATTACTTGCCAGCAAACATGGCAAAATTTTAAAAGATTACTGTAAAATCTGACATAATTGCAATGTTTTTATTAATGCAAAAAATACTGTAAATTCAGAAATTATTGCGATGTTTTTATTATTGCGAAAAATGCGACGGGTTATAATCGCAATGATTCAAACTCGCATTTTGAAATTTTTTATATGAATTAAACAGGATTTTTCTCAATATCGCAAAAATTAAAATCGCATTTAAGTCTAAAATGACAAAATCACAATAATAAATGCACGCAATAATTTCTGAATTTACAGTAGACAGCATCAAGTTTGCAATAATAAAAACTTGCATTCATAATTTTATTATTGCTGATTTTCCTTCACAAAATTTTTGCAATCACATTAATTTGATCTGACATCTTCATGATCTTACAAGTAAATAATGATTCACAATAATAAATGCAAGCATTAATTTCCAAATTACAGTATTTTGGTGCAAAATTCATGCCTCCATCAAGGTTAATTCAAAATTATTTGTGGGGTTATTATATACAATAAGCCCTTTGTTTAGGAAAATAAAACTTTATGTATTTGTATTTGTTACACTAATGATGCTTCATGTCATTATTTATCTATGAGCTAGTTTTGGTAAAGACTTGTTGAGAATCAATTAAATAAAAAAATTGACTAGTAAAAAAAATGTAAAATACATAAAAAAAAAATTAACAAAAACATGTATAAAAAACAAACAACAATTATAATAACAGTAATTAAACATTTCACATGTAAAATAAATATAAAAAAATATCACAAACAGTAAAATAAACAACAAAGTGTTTTCCCATAGAATTTGTTTCAAAGATTTGGTGATCGACTGAAAGGATGATGGTCATGAAAAATATATATATATGCATAATGTAATACATGTGTGTGTACCAGTTTTGAAGAAAGTGTATTGAACATATCATTAACATTACAATCCTGTGTTCGAAAAAAAACACTGACCGGAAAACTAAAAACAAGCTCACTTTCAAAATCATCCAATAAAGAAAGACTGACTTCAAGAAGAAAGAGATCGGAAACAACACATTAGTCCACAAAACACCACACTGAAAACTAATGGCTGACAACATTAACTGTATTAAAAACCAAGACAGAACTTACCGGTAATGCAGAAAAGTTGTACAATACCACCATTGGTCTCTAGGCAATGGATTTAAACATAGAATTAAATTATATGTTTACAAAGATACAGTAGAAGGCAGGGATTACTCTATATAAGTGATGGGGCATGACCAGAAAGTTTTTTGCAATTACTTTAGGCCTCAATAAATAAATCTTCTTCACTAGCTAAGGGTTACAATCCAGTCTGGAGGGGACTGATGTTTCCCCTGTGCTGGCAAAGATGCCAAAAATTAAAGTAACAGTGTATTTTCAATTACTTTTATGCATATGAAAATAAGGAGATGTGGTATGATTGCCTTTTGACACAACTATCCACCAAAGTTTAAACAGAACTTAAATCTAAAGAAATAAAACAAATGTGGTAATAAAAACCAACAGTAGACAGCTCTCTCACAAGCAAAAACACCATAACTGTACAATATAAGTGCATACACCACAAGCACGGGGACACATTCTACAGAATTCACACAGCAACCCTGTCATCCTTGAAAAAATAAGGAGATGTGGTATGAATGCCAATGAGACAACTATCCACAACAATTCAAACAAAACTTAAATTTAAAGACATAGGCATAGGATGTCGACAAACGTAATGATAAAAACTAACAGTTGACAGCTCTCTCACATTGTCTTAACCTACAATTTTTTTTTATCAAAGAATCTACCCTATTTGCGGATTAATAAAACAATGGTGTTTCTAGCTTCTTCAGTCAACAACCCTTGATTGCACAAATACTTTAAATGGCTTAGGATGAACAATTTCATCAAATTCAGACTCAAGTTTAAACACCTGTCCATTTTCTGCAGCTGTTATTGTAACTTGATGCATAATGTAAGTAAAGAACAGAAATATCTCTACATCAACAAGAGTCTCTCCTGGACAACTCCTCTTACCAGCACCAAATGGCATATACTGATCTGGTATGACAAGATTCTGTTTATCATCAAGGAATCTGAAAAATATTGAGTAAACAAGTGAATCTATGAGCTACTGCTCACTAATGATACCCTCGCCCGCTAAAAGTATACGGTAAACAGGAAGTTGTTGAGTGATGAATCTGAAAACGCATCACACGGTATAGCTGACTCATATAAACCCTGAAACCAAAGTTCAGAAATCCTTGTAATGAAGTTCCTGAGAAAAATGCGACAAAAATTATTCATGGGACGGACGGACGGATGGATGGACGGACGGACGGAGGGATGGAAGGACGGACGGACAGACAGAGGTAAAACAGTTTACCCCCACTTTTTTAAAGCGGGGTATATAAAAGCGGGGGTATAATAAATGTTTTTTTTTTATATAGCAGAAATAACAGATGAACAAAATTATTCTTTAAAGAGTCCTTCAACTATATATGGTTATAGACATTATTACATACCAGTAAAACAAAATTGCACACAGTGGGACAACATATTTTTATAAAAATAACATTCCAGTACTAATTTGAACCATTTTGCTACAATAAATAAATCAAAGCACCAAGGGCGCTATAGGCAGTTAATTAAAAAACCAAAGGCAAACTTGGCAGAAGTTCAGATGAATATTGTGGAAGAATTAGTGGAAATATTTATCTCAGGCATTATTCTAAGCTATTTCTGAAGTATCAAATAATGTTTGTACAGAAATGTGTACACTATCCAATCCTACCACTTTCAAAAGTTATTTCCAATTTATATTTTTAAAGATTCAATGTCTGAGATTATGCACATACACTGTCCCATGTTAGGGGAGAGTTTTGTGCCAGCTTACATGTTTAAGCCGCCACATTCTGCATGTACCTGTCCATAGTGAGGACCCACTAATTTGGTGATTGTTGCTGTATTTATTTTTTATAATTGTTTTGTACATAAATTAGGATGCTTCAGTTTTATTGTTTTACATTTGTCAATTCATGGTCGTTTATAGCTTACTATGCAGTATAGGTTTTGCTAATTGTTGCAGGCTGCATGGAGGAATATTCTTATCAGAATAATAATTTCGATAATGGTGTCCAACAGTGGGGTATATATGGTTTAATTCCACTATGTACTAGAGTTTAAATATGCCATATTAGCGGTTTTAGTTGGATCAGCTGGTGCCACTAGTACTATGCATAATTATCAAATCATACCTGAAACTATCTGAAGTGGTGTAATTTTCTTGTATATTATATTACAATAAATGCTTATGTTGTTAAAATGGCCTAGCAATGATGCAACATATGTTTTGGAAGGCTGTACGGTTGCCTATAATTGCTTACATCCACTTCATTTGAATTTTTGTGGATAGTTGTCTCATTGGCAATCATTCCATATCTTCTTATTTTTATAATAATTGTACATGTCTAATCTATAATAAGCTGTTCACACAGAGACATGTTTTGCCTATTTGTTTTGATAATGCAAATGTTACAATTAAACTAGAGGCTCTAAAGAGCCGGTGTTGCTCACCTTGGTCTATGTGTATATTAAACAAAGGACACAGATGGATTCATGACAAAATTGTGTTTTGGTGATGGTGATGTGTTAGTAGATCTTACTTTACTGAACATTCTTGCTGCTTACAATTATCTCTATCTATAATGAACTTGGCCCAGTAGTTACAGTGGAAAATATTTTGTAAAAATTTACAAAAATTTACAAAATTTATGAAAATTGTAAAAAATTTACTATAAAGGGCAATAACTCCTTAAGGGGTCAATTGATAATTTTGGTCATGTTTGACTTATTTGTAAATCTTACTTTGCTGTACATTATTGCTGTTTACAGTTTATCTCCATCTATAATAATATTCAAGATAATAACCAAAAGCTGCAAAATTTTCTTAAAATTACCAGTTCAGGGGCAGCAACCCAACAACGTGTTGCCTGATTGGTCTGAAAGTTTCAGGGCAGATAGACCTTGACCTAATGAACAATTTTATCCCGTCAGATTTGCTCTAAATGCTTTGGTTTCAGAGATATGAGCCAAACACTGCATTTTACCCTATGTACTATTTTTTAGCCATGTCGGCCATCTTGGTTCGGGGGCAGGGTCATCGGACACATTTTTTAAATTACATACCCTCATGATGATTGTGGACAAGTTTGGTTTAAATTTGTCTTAGTAGTTTCAGAGGAGAAGATTTTTGTAAAAGATTACAAAAATTAGAAAAATGGTTACAAATTGACTATAAAGGGCAATAACTCCTTAAGGGGTCAACTGACCATTTTTGTCATGTTAACTTATTTGTAGATCTTACTTTGCTGTACATTATTGCTGTTTACAGTTTATCTCTATCTATAATAATATTCAAGATAATAACCAAAAACAACAAAATTTCCTTAAAATTACCTATTCAGGGGCAGCAACCTAACAACGGGTTATCCGATTCATCTGAAAATTTCAGGGCAGATAGATCTTGACCTAATTTACAATTTTACCCCCATGTCAGATTTGATGTAAATGCTTTGGTTTGAGAGTTATAAGCCAAAATCTACATTTTTACCCTATGTTCTATTTTTAGCCATGGTGGCCATCTTGGTTGGTTGGCGGGATGGCCAGACACATTTTTTAAACTACATACCCTCATAATGATTGTGGCCAAGTTTGGTCAAATTTGGCCCAGTAGTTTCAGAGGAGAAGATTTTTGTAAAAGTTTACGGACGACGGACACCAAGTGATGAGAAAAGCTCACTTGGCCCGTTGGGCCAGGTGAGCTAAAAAGGAATACTTTAACATGTAAAATATATTCAAAGACAATGAACCATGACTGATGGTACAGGGCTGAACAAACTCCATGGAAATGAGATGTGCCAATGTTTATACAACTGCTTACCAAATACCATTGACTTTTCATAAGTCATTCCCTTTAAACAAACCTTAACACAAATTCAATTTCTAAGTCAATGAACCATAATGAGGAGGTGGGGTTAAATAATATCCATGGAAATGAACCTTTTAAATACCAATACGTTTGCATACCAAATAACTTTGACTTAAGATTACTGGTAATATTAAACTGACATCATCATAATAATCACAAACTAATACATGTAAACTAAGTAAAAGTTTCAAAGTCAATAGATCATGCTTATGACTGAGGGGTAAGGACCAAATATCCGCTATGGAAATGAGACATACTAATGCTTCTACACCTGCATGCCAATTATCATTGACCTACCACTATTGGTTTCCCTAATACTAACCTAATCAAAAGCTAATAAATGAATTTTCAAAGTAACATAAGGTTCCAAGTAAAAAGAGCATGATTGAGGGGGCGGGCCAAATAATCTCAATGGAAATTAGAAATGACAAAGTTTAAACAACTGCACACCAAAAAAAAACCCAGAAAAAAATGTATTTATAGATAAAATTACAGCCATTTTTTTGTCAAAATATGGTCCTCTAACTCCTAATTCTCCTGGATCCACACCTAATTGTATGTATTGTTAGAAATAGCTGAAACTTGCAAGTTGACGCAATAAGTATTGGATAAAGAAGTACGGACAAAGTTAAATTTCATGCAATTCTTAAATATTCAAACTAACCTGTGTGGGTCAAATCTCATTGGATTTTTCCAGTATCTTTTATCATGATGAATACTCCAAATGTTAAACATCATTATTGTATCTTCTGGTATATCAAAACCTGAAAATCATTTGTTAAATAAGAGATAAATATTGATTCTACTCTACAGTACTATATGATATTGCTATTGAAATGGTTGATTTGAATTTAAAATTTCAATGATATTGATGCTTTTAAATACATGCATTTGAAAATTTTGCTAGAATTGAAAAATGTAACGTAATTTCCCTTAGGAAAACTTTTTATTTACAATTTTTAAACAGCACTGAACAATCTGATGATGAACTTTAATGTTCTTTAATGTTCTTTTCTTATGATCTGTACAAAATATAATTGACGTTTTATTTTTTGTCATGATGCATGATTTCTTATTTTATGCTGACATATATAACAGCTTAACCAGAAAATAACAATGGAATTTGATATTATATTTAAATTCTGACCAATAAAACAATAAACAAGAGTAAAATTTTAGAGATCTTAACTATGCATAACCAAAAATGACGGGACTTTAACTACCGGTATGCTTAAACAAAAACATTCACAAAATAGGTTAAGCTTGAACATTAAGGCTGGAAACAGAACTATATTTTGTTGTGGCCTGAAAAGGATTACCTTGAAATACACAGTGCTTTGTTGTTCTGTGAGGCTGCAGGAAAGGGAATACAGTTACGATTCTCTGGACCTCTAAAATAACGGCCATTGTGTAAGGTAAATATGGCTGATTGACTAAGGATGGAAATCTCTCTCTGCCGACAACTTCATCTATTTCCTTCTGAACTAATTTTTGGCTATCTGGAAAAGCCACCATGTAACCAATGAGCCACTGTAGGATCGCTGGCACTGCTGAAAACCCTGACTCAAATATCTCCATTAGGAGGTACTCGATGTCATCACAATCAATAAGACCTCTATCCTCATCACTTTCTATAAACAAGAGCAAGTGATCTACTATGTCTCTGAGTCTATGAGGACTGTAAGTGTCTTTGTGATGATTGAGCATGTCTCTTTGAAATGCCATCTGAAATTCAGTTCTTTCAACTGTATTTTGAAAATCGTCTTTATAAAAAGAATGTAAAAATGGAAAGAAATTATTAGGACTAAAGACTTTCTTTGCATCTGATCGTGTTTTAAGTGATTTATAAACATCCTGTATGGCTTGGTCTTGTGTTTGATGGAAAACTAATGTCATCATAATATGCAAATGAGCAAATTGGAATGATTCTTTTGGGTCAAATTCTTCTTCTTGTTTAAGAAAATAACATAAGAGATTTACTGCCTCGGTAGTTATCTTTTCTTCAATGTTTGTATCTACGGAACAATAACTTCCGAGACAGTCTATGATGAATTTTTTCTTAATTGATGTTTTTTCGTCAAAATCTGCAGTTCCCAAACCTAAAATGAAACAACAATATAAATGTTCTATACTATATTGTATATATATTGTAAATTGTTGATGTAATATTATACAAAATGAATATGCCAATTAGAAAAGTTAACATTCATTGTTTTCGTTATTAACAAAACTTTGCAGTCTAGTTTCAATGATAAACAAATTTATGAAACATTTGTTGTGTTCTAAGCCTGAGACTACTAATTTTGAAATCATGAAACAAATCAATATCAAACTTTTTCAACAATTTGTGCGTTTATATATATATATATATATATATGTGTATACAAGTCATTCAGTTTGGTTTCTCTTAGTCCTCACTATAATGACAACAAATAAAAAACACATTTTTTTCTGTATTAAAGTTTAAACATGAATAAAAATAAAGGAAGAAAAAACAAGCAAGAAAGAAGAAAACTTAATTAATTTGAGAAATAAAATTTACATACATGTATATAATTGACTATTACCTTTTTGCCTGCAACCATGGAACAACCAATGAAAAGATGGTAGGTTTGGTCGGTCATCAAATGTGTCATCTGATTGGTTCAGACCATTTATCACACCATCCAATGAACAAACAAACACAATTCTGTTTTTACCAGCTTTAAGACTAAATATATCACCATATTTATTCTTCAAATTTGTTAATCGGATGTGGTGTCTTCCTTGGAATAAGATAGGATTTCCAATGATCGGCCATGGAAATGGCCCAGGTGGAAAACCATTATGTGTTTTTTTCCAAAGATATATTGCACTTAGAAAAAACAGGAAGAAAACCAGAAACAGCTGGTTTGTTTCCAGATTACTGAAAAATTTGACGTGAAACATTTTCATCAAATATTTAAAATTAATTTCATATCCTGTAACGTAATTTTTTCTGTTCTAATATCAGCTTATTGTTATTGGAATAACAATTCACTAGAACTACATTGTTGTAACAATAAGAGTAATGAGATACCAGTACATGAGGTCTTTAATTTGAAATCCTTTATACAAACAATATAATGCATCCCTCAAGACAGAATATGCTATCTGATCATAAAATGATCTTTCTGAAAAGAAAAAAAAAAAAAAAATGTTTATCAATTTAAGTGGCAGACCGGTATAAAAAATCAAATTAAATCAAATTTCTTCTTCCACACAAAGATGATAAACTATTAAAAAAAATACCTACTATAAAAAAAAGTGACTGGAAGTGAACATGTTATATTTGTTAAACTAAGATTCTTTCTATATCTTCATAGTGACATGTCATACACATGATACAGTAGAACCTCGATAATTTGAAGGACCCGACATAACTATTTGACCTATCATCCAATGTTCAAGTTATCTGAGGTCGCAAGTTGCATCATGCTTTCAACTTTGAATTAAGTTTGGCTGCAGTCAGCTTGGTAGATTTAGAGAAGATCATTGTAAAAGTTAATAGACAATATGGCCCCATGGGTACATCTGAAATGCCATCTTTAAAATAATTATATAAAAAATAAGGAGATGCGCCAATGGCAACGAGACAACTTATAAGCAACCAGAGTTCAAGTGATGTGGATGTTAGCAATTGCCAATTATAGATCACAATACTGCCTTCAAAAATGAGAAAAACCCATACCGTATAGATACCTTAAAAGGCCGCGCCCCAACATGATAAATGTGGTCAATTCAAACAAGAAAACAAATGGACTAATTTATAACTGTTCAATTTATCATGTTTCTAAAAAACAAATATGACAGACATGAACATGCAACAACCACTGAATTACAGGCTCATGACTTGGAATAGACATATAAAGAATGCTGCTGTGTTTAACAAGCTTGTGAGAGCTCAACCCTCATCCTAACCTAGGATAGAGGTGTAACAGCTTAACATAAAGAACAAACCAATACAATCAGTTGCAAATGACTTGTCTCAATAGATCGGTATGAACATGATGAAGCATAAAAATAACAACCAACATAAAAATAAAAGACACAAAGCCCCGATATAAGAGTATTCACAGTTACTGAAAGCTAGTTCAAAGCCAATTACATTGTAGAACTAATAAATTAATCATGTTCTCCCAGACTAAATGTCCTCTTCACATTCTGAATAGGCCACTGACTACATATCAATTAATCCCTTTTGGAGTTCTGTGGCTGGAGCTACATGTATTTTCTGGTTTGGCTGCCCACTAATTTTTCAGACTACTTTTTTGTGGATATGATAAGATATTGAGTGGGCAGTCAAATCAGAAAATAGCTCCGCTCTCAGAATCCCAAAAGGGACGAGATTGCTACACTGTAGCGAAATGTCCCCCACACTGTATAAATGAGGAATTAACTTGTGGGATAATAGTCAAAATATGGTAAAAGATCTAGACCAATAACTCTCACAAACATTGTCAAATCAAATTGATGGTACAATGTGGTCAACTTAACATGGTTGCAAACATTCCTACCAAGAATGAGAGTTGTCTGTCAAATTGTTTCAGAGAAGTTGTTTTAATAAGGTGATGCTATTAGTATTACAATACTCCAAAAAATAGCCAAAGTCCCATAACTCCCATAAAAATGGTCAGATCAAAGTGACAGTATAAAAGGGTCAACTTAACATGATGGCAAACAATACTACCAAGTGTGAGAGCTTTTCGTAAAACGATATCAGAGGAGTTGCATGGACAAGCTGTTAAATGGTCACAACACTAAAAAAAATAGTCAAAGTCCCATAACTCCTGTTAAATATGGTTGAATCAGAATGATAATACAATACGGTCAACTACATGTGTATACGTGATCATGATGATTGCGAACATCCTATTAAGTATGAAAGCTTTCAGTGAAACAGCCTCAGAGGAATTGCTTTTCCAAGTTAATTAAAGGTATTATTGTCACAATACCTCCCCAAAAAAGAAGGTCAAAATCCCATTTAACTCCCACAAAAATAGTCAAATCAAAATGGTAGAACATTATATGGCCAACTACATATGATGGAAAACAATCCTACCAAGTATGAGAACTTCTGTTAGACGCTCTCAGAGGAGTTGTACTCACAAGACGTCATTGTAAGAATACTAAAAAATAATGGCCAAACAACTCTTGTAAAAATTATAAATAAAACTGACCATGGCATAAGAGAATATGAAAAATATTCCTACCAAGTATGAAAGCTGCATGTCAAACTGTATCTGAGTATTGATGTGTTTTAGACCGACAAAGGGTCGATGGGCGGAAAACAGAGGCCATAATTTATCATATATCCAGCGGTGTGAGGCACGGAGGACAATAACTATGATAATATTATCAATATACCCAAACTGTAACATTTATAGGTCCTGCCAGGTCGTAAAAAATTTCCGATGGCACATGATATATTGTATTAAGAAATTTGTATGAGGTGTACATGCCAATATGGCAGTTCCGGGATACGGTTTTTAGTTGAATCTGTCATGTGACTTCCATCACCACGTGACCAAAATGTAGGCATCGTCACTTCCAAGACATGATGAGCAAACGGATGAAAAAGTTTGATTTTATACTGCACAAAATATTTTGGAAATTAAAATCTAATAAGATGGTCTCCTCCCTCATTCGTACGGGAATCAAGATTACCATGATTATACGTACTTACGGAACATAAATTATTTTTATACTACCCTACAGAATGACAATTTTGAAAGTGCTGGAAACTTTTTATAGAGCAGGAATACAGGTGCGCCTTCTATCTGGTAAATGACGTCATAAAGGCGTGCGAAATTGACGATCTTTTCCGGTGAAAGACATGATTCCAGAAATGACGTATTTCAGACAAAAGGTTAGGACGGTCATGTAGTCCAAATAATTATGACGTCTTGAAAGGCTATTATATTTTTTTCTTTGACGCCTTACGCAAGAAGGCGTTAAAGCAAAAATTTAAAATAGCCTTCCAAGACGTCATAATTATTTGGACTAGACGGTCATGATGGTTATGCAAAAAAAACACAGACAATAAACAGATAAACTGGTAAAATATAAAAATAGCATCGTGTTTAAAAAAGAATTATTCTAAGGAAAAGAAACTGTAGCTACTGTAGAACAGAACATAATTGATTCATGGATGTGTACCTGTGTGGTTTTCATTTTGGTCAGCTTCAGTTGCAGAGTCTGAATCAAACAAATGCTTGTAATTTGCCCCTTATATCATAATAAAATCCTTTTGTAAATTTCTTTGAAATTGTCACGAGGAATTAGTAAATAGGTTAAAAAAAATCAATTACTATTTTTTCCAAAATATGTTTTGCATGAAAGTAATATTCGATCATTGAGTAAAGATTACAAGCGTGTGTTTAACTTTTATCCGCTTACAACATCGATAAATGTTTGTTGACATGTGAAGGACGGGGAGGTGTTAAATGTTAAACTTCTGTTTATAGGACAAACATAAATTAACATGGCTTGCAGTTTACCAAATAGATTGCCATACAATAAATTTCTATTGTTACAAAGGTTAAAAAATAAAAATTTAAAAGCATGCCCTAGAAAAACCTTGATAAATCATTGACTTGTGTACAGTTATATTTAACAGTAAGAAACATCTTCTTGATTTATTGGAAATTTCCCTGAATAGAGTTTAAAACATGACACTTGAAATCCCTGATTTCTTTAACTAAATACCTCAAAAGAGGCATTCAGAGAAGTTAGATATTTATAAAAATGAATCCAGTTCGTTTCGCCCTGATTTCCACTCTTTGTCGGGGGTCTCATTGGGGGGTTCTGATCCCGCATCCCGCTTACTGTTTTATCAGATTCCCGTATCCCGCTTACACTATGTACGTAAGCAATTCTCATTTTTTTTGTAATTTCCCGTATCCCGCTAGACATCATTTCCCGTTTTCACGGCACAATAATTTGACTTTCACGTGTCATAAGATTTGGTATGATTGCCAATGAAATATTACTATTCCAAGAGATCAAATGATATAGATGTAAGCAACTATATGTCATCAAACAGCTTTCAACCATGAGCAAAACCCATACCCATACTGTTTTGTAATCTTATAATAACAGTCTGGACATGAAAAAATGCTTAACAGTCCAAATGACAAAAAAAAAACTCTTTCTATAGAATAGTACGAGGCAGGTGTTACATGTACTTGATGAGCTCCTGAGGTGATTTGTTTTTAAGAATTGTGAATTGGATTCTGCATGTTTATTTTACTTGCATGCATTATACTTTTCAGAATCAGATATGTCAGAATGAGATGTGTGCAAATTTGTTGCAAATACTATGCTCAAACAGATACAATTTTGTGGGAAATTGTATGCTTCTTTATAATGTTAAAGGATAAATCCTACAAATAATGGAAATTTTGAAAGGTTTTGTCAACACCTGCCGGTTGTTGAATTTTTTAATCTCAAATTGACCCTTCTACCATGCATTTATGTGCCTTTTGGCAGGGCAAACCCAAACCCAAAACTTGAAAATTGGTATTTACTGCTTCTCTATTCCCTATTTATGTCACTTTGGTTCAGGCAAACACAAGAATTGAAAATTGGTATTTGCTGCATTTCTGCTACTCAAGCAGCATTCAGGAATAAGGGCAAAGATCGGTCAGCTCACAGTCAGAATCGTATATCCTGCTGGTATGGTGACATGTTTTTATAATCTATTGACTTAATTTAGTAATACATAAAAACTAAGTAGTCATGTTATGTAGAAAAAAGGATATGGGGTATCCATCCATGACACAAAATCAGTATATGCACAGCAAAAACAGCAAAAAATACACAAAAAAAAAAAAAAAAAAAAAAGGAACAGCTTTTCTTCATCTCAAAGTCACAATGAGGCCTTCAACTAGGTACCAAAAAAAAAAAAAATTCTCACCTCACTGCAAGTTTAAGTTCAAGTTGATATTTTTATCTCAAACATGAATTAGAAAATTTAGATAATAGTAATATTATTCTAAAGGACTGTTTGGTATGCATTTTAGTAAGTTGACATTTTATTTTATTTTATAGGTCAAGAATTAAGTTGCATTCAGAAAGGTCATTATCTAGTGGAAATGCAAGTAAGTATTTGTTTTAAAG